GGCGCCGCGTGAGCGGCGAGGCGACCGCAGATGCACCGAGGGGCGCGGGCGCCGCACACCTGCCTCTGCCTGCGCAGCGCCCCCGGGGTGGCGGAGTTTCCAGGAGCCCAGGGGCCTTAGCCAGGGCACAGAAAGGACAGCCGCCCTCTTCCGTTCGGCTGAACCCTGGCCTCGAAAACCACCTTCGCCTTGGCTCGTGGCATTTTGAGCTTTGGATTTGCTGTTTGGCTGTGCGGCCCAGACTCCTTTGAACTTCTGGTTATAAAAGGAGGATTGGGTGATCGGTTAGGGATTCCGAGATTTTTTTATAGCAGGTTCACCTAGTTTGGAACACAGGTTTTTCTTGCTCGGGAGGGGGACCGTGTGGGCCAGAAGATTTCTGATGCCAAAGTGGAGGTCACACGGTGCCTGAGTTACGGTTCCCGAGTGAGCGTGAGGTCCCCGGGGGGCTGAGGTAGGAAAGGAGGGCATGCCTGCCAGCTGCGCCAGGCTCCTTGCCAAGGGGAAATGAGCCTGTCCCTTGCAGGCCAGAGACACGGCGGAGCCATGAGGGCTTGCTGGCTTCTGCCTCCCCTCCCTGCCCCAGGAGAGAGCCGCTGAAGTCATTTGAGTCTTGCTTTCCTTACGGTCACTATCTTAACCTGAGGTAGCAGCAGCGCGCCTTCTGTTCTCACCATCGTTCATCCGGGGAAAATGCTGCCGCTGGGCTGCCTCTGGTTCGGGTGCGGAGATCCCAGCCGGCTGTCTCAGCTGCACCAACAAAAGTTTCTCTCTCTGTCTCTCTGTCTCTCTCTCTGTCTCTCTGTCTCTCTCTCTCTCTCTGTCTCTCTTTCATACATACATACATACAGAAAGTGAATCTGACTTCTTCCATTGTTACAATTGCTGCCAAGACAAGACTTCAAATGCCACAAAATCAAAAAAGCCAAGACCACATTCATCTTGAGCTTGAGACCAGGGGTAGGGTGACCTGGTTCCCTTCCACTTCACCCTTCAAAGGGCATTGATCACATTCAAATCACTCTTCTGTGTCTGCAAGTGAGGCCCTGTCCAACCTGTTGGCATTCCATAGTATTCTGGATGACAGTTTCCTGTTCACTGTAAGAAGTGTAGCATTACTCATATTTCTTGTCTTATGGGTGATTGTTACCAGTGAAGCCAGACCTTGCAAAAACAAGAGGAAGTGCATGTGGACTGTGGAGCTTTTGAGTGACTTATTTGCTAAAGGACCTGTCTAGTAAACAGGAGATAATGGGTCTGAATCACATTGAAGTCTCAACTTGAAGAATGAAGGAAGTGCTTTAGACTTTGGCTGCAGATACGATTCCATCTCTTTGCAGAGGCAGTTTGCTCAGCATTGACTGGGCCCTCCCTGGTTACTACCACATGGTCTTTGAAGCCTCAAGAAAAACTTCACAGCCTGCCTGTCCTCCCAGCACTCTGGGAGACTGAGGCAGGAGTACTCCAAATTTGAGCCCAGCCTGAGTAGTTTAGGGATTTAGTAAGACCCTGTCTCTAAAATAATTTTTTAAACAAGAACTGGGGATGTCGCTCAGTGCAAAGGCTCTGGGTTCAATCCTCAGTACCAGAAAATAGCAGAATGCCTCGTTTCCTCTTGGAACCTGTCCCACCCCTCCCAGTGCCTCTGCCTTCCCAGTACTCCAGGTGCCGCCTACGCTGAGCTCTCCTGACACCTGTGCTTAAATCTATCCTCGCACTAATGTGCTTCTCACGGTACGCCAAGCGCCTTGAGGGCGGGACCAGGTATTCTGACTTTAACTTCCTAGCGGATAACATCTGGCCTCTGATAGGTACTCAGAAAATGCCTGTGGAGAGCAGGAAAGTATGTTCATGTGGCTTTTGTAACTGGCTTCATAAGGGCGCCTGGACTTTGCTTCGCGGCCCAAAGCCATCAGTAAGCATCTTTGGAAACTGGAAGGTAGATACATTTGCAGGTGCCCTCCTCTTCAGTCTTGGGTCCTGATGTCCAGAGACTCTTCTGAGATCTGTAGTTTTCATCTACTGCCAGGAGTGACCTCTTCCGTCCTCCACTGGGATGTGTAGGAGCTGCTATGAGGGCTGCTGTTTGTATTATGTACCCACGGGCCAGCAATACTGAGTGTCCTGCCGTGCATGACAATTTCATAAGAAGTTCCCAAGTCAAGACAAATGATGACCAGTTTACCCTAACTTCTGAGAAACACTGATGCAGAGAATTGGGAATTTTGCCAGGGGAAGTGGAAGAAGAAATATGGTAAATGTTCTTTACTATCTGACCTTTAGTCTCCACATCTGAAACAAAATGGGCTCACTACCCTTTACTTCCTGGGCATGCTGTGATGACTCAGCAAGGGAAAGGTTTCGTAGAAGAGGGCCTGGAGCTCACCTTCTCAGTAAATGTTACCTGTACTCCCTTCCCTGTCTCTCCTTTAAAAAAAGCCACAGTATTTGGCACATTTTCTTTCCCAAATTTTCACTTATTCATGCCAGCCACTCTGTCTAATTAGTAACAAATTAGAAGGTTTTTATCATGTGTAACCTTTCTCATAAGTAAACTTGAATTTGTAAAGGTGTTAATTGCCAGTAAGGCATTCATTCATTTTGTTGAATCTGTGGTTTCAAATTTAAGGTGAAAAAAAGTGCCCTTTGTTTAGTGTTTTTTGTCTCCAAATTTAAAACGTCTGATTTGTGTTCCCTAGCCTAATTTTGATCCATGCTTTATTTTGCACTTCTGGCAACTAGGAACCTTAAAGGTGTGCTTTCCAGATGTAGAACAGGGTCTCACCCTGTGGTGTACATTGAGTTGGGGTTGTACTGGCCTCCATTGTACTATTTTTTTTTTTTTTAAACTAGAAGGACATCTAGGTAGCATGCAGGACCCACAGACCTATCCATTTGCCATGGACAGACCCTGTTGATGGTTGTGCCTATTGGTGCAATCTTACTTGATGGAAGTGTGTTGCAATATTATACAAGAAGTGGGAGAATGTGGATTGATTCCTCAGGGACAGTGTTGTATTCATCTCTGTTCTAAGGATGGTGCCTGGCACTTAGGAGGCCCACAGTAATTGTTTCATGAAGTATAAATGCATGATTGGCCAAAGCTAGAGAAAGGCTTTTCTCCTTGTCTCCAATTCCTTTCTTTCTCCATCCTTAGGGATTTATGAGGAAAGTAGGGTGGATGAGCACTATTCCAGGATGAATAGTATAGCCTCTTATATGGCATCAAAATGATTTCCAGTCTTTAGCACGGCCATTCCCCAGCCACCCCTCTGCCACAAGGTTTCTAAATGACAAGTGTCTAAATGCCTCTAAATGATATCTGTTACCGGGCCTGAATTGCCCATCTTCTGTGAATGAATTGGCTTTTCAGATAACTTCTGATATGTCACTCAGTGCTCAGATTCTGTAGTTTTTCTGCTATAAGATTGAAAAATCTACCCCTGGCCAAGACTAAATGATAGTAAGTGTTCAGGAAGACAGAGAGAGAGCCAAAAACTGGTAGCAAAGAGGAGGCATGGTAGACACTGGGCTTTGGGAGCCAGTGCATGCAGAGGACCCAACGTGAACTGAGAAGTAAGTCAGAGACTCAGAGGACCAACAGTGGATGGTGAAAATGATACTTGCACCGTGAAGATTACTTTTTGTGGCTTTGTGTTGGGTAGCGAAGTGAGGAGCACCTTCCTCTTCACCCTGACGGTCCCAAGAGCCCAGAGATTAAGAGCATCCACAGCAGTCAGGTGGGACCCGGGGGGTGGGGCAGTTGGCCGAGTCACCCATGCTTGTGCCTTTCATCATCTTGCACAGCAGACATTGACTCCTTTCTTGAGGACTAGAGAGAAAGAGAAAGAGAGAGACAGATTGGATACACTATTCAGATGAGTTCCCTTCTTTTTGCAAAGGAAGCAAGAGGGAGGTGAGCTCTTCCTGCCCTTGCAGGACACTCTTGGTGCTAGTGCACTGATAGTTTTCTACCTTTTCAGACCTATGGCAGAAAGAAACCGAAGCTCTCTGTGAAGCGTGAATGGATGGACAGACAATGAGTGAGTGATTGGTTGGTGCTTTTGATTTCCACCGGAGAACCCCCAACTGTCCCATCCTCAGAGTAGATGTAAAGTCAGTGGGACCGCACCAGTTTCCCTGTGGGTACCTAGCCTGCGGCGCCATGGCGGAGCTGGCTGCTCCCAGTTCTCAGCCATTTCGTGTATCACCGAGGGTCATCTTTTCCTGTTGGTTCTTTTCATTGTGCTCTTTAGCCCGTGTCATCTGACTTGCCCGCCCTGGCAGCTTCTGTTAATCACTCTGATTTAGGCCTTGAGCGTGAAGACTGGACGCCCATGATCGAAAATTCGTGTGCAGTGACTGTGTGAACTGCACCGTTCGAAACAGAGCCACGAACCCTGCTTGGGAAGTTGCTGTGACAAAGAGTTCCTGCTGCTCCCACCTCCTCTGGAGCCTCTTAGCCGGTTCAGACAGCGCTTCCCTCTAATCCCTCTGCTGCCTTGCACCACCCCGCCCTTGCTAATTCCTTTCATCCCTCCCTTCCTTTCTCACCCGCCGCCTTGCTGTTCTCCTTTGCCAGAAGAAACAAGGGCAAGGGCGGGTGCTCTGA